CCACCAGCTCCTCTACCGCTGCCTCTACAGCCACGTCAACCCTTGAGGCCACCTCCACAATGGGGGAACCTTCCACCTCAGTGTCCCAGGGCACCTCTCCTGAGATTGCGGCTTCAACCTCTTCCTCTCAGGAAGAAACATCCCGTCTTCAGACCACCTCCACAGTCTTCTCCACCGCCACAAGGAGCTCTAGCATAGCTCTTGAAATGACCAGTTCTCACCTCATTGTCTCCACAGCAGCTCCGTTTGCTCCTCAGACATCTCTCGTTTCTGTTCCCGCTCTCAGCAGTACAGTGTATTTTCGAACAACTGTGATACCAGATATTAATACTGCTCTCAAAACAAGTAAGTAATGCAACAATCAGTGTTAATATTATTAAATTTCCCTCAGTGCATCTTGGCCCTTATTTTGATTTAAAAAATATTATTTTTATTTTTAATTTCTTGTACTGAGGAGATGTTTTCTACATTTATCATTACATTGTTTTGCAGAATGTGACTTTATATATTTATAAGTACATAACAGCACTGTTAAAGTGCACGCAATCATATCATATATACCATATCATATCATATCATATTTTAAATTTTGAAAAACAAGTAAAGATTCATTATTCAGACTAGGTCGAAACCAAACACATGCTAGAATACAGAAGTAGGACACAGAGAGTCATAGATGACCACTGCGGGTTGGCAAGAGCCCTGTGATCCTGTCCAGCCACAGCCATGTCTCCCGGCACTTGCCCCTTGTCACTCCCCATCTGTGCTTCTTCCAGCTCCCCCCCACCCAGCACCGACAGCTGCCGCCCTCGAGCCTTTCACCGTCAACTTCACCATCACCAACCTCCCCTACAATTCCGACCTGGAGAATCCAGACTCGGCAAGGTTCAAGTCTGCACAACGAGTCATGAACACCTTGGTGAGTGGACCATCACTGGGAGATTGCCTTGCGCCCTCTGCCCTCATAACCTTGCGGGAGGCAGGGGCCTGGGCATGGTTTAACTGTGAAATCCTCCCCTTGGCAGCTCGACCGCCTGCTGAAGGAAACCAGCATTGGCCCCGATTTCCAGGGATGTGAAACAACAGCCTTCAGGTATGGGTTGTGTTAGTATGTCCATGGGCATGTCCATCAGTGATGAGAGAATGCATAAGGTTCATGTTATGGTGACACCTAGCCCACAGAGGCTCACCTTCTCCATGATGCCATCCTCCTTTGGGACCTTCTCCCTGATTCCCTACAGATTCAGGGCTGCCACTCACTGCCTGCCATCCAATCTTTAATGGGTGATGGCAAAGCCCAAGGATGACTCTAAAGTCCTTCCTGGTTCTGTGCTTTCCTGAAGACCCCCACGGTGTTTGTGGAGGTGGAGAGCAGTGGTCAGTCCCCGCACATGCATGATTTGGGATGGCAGAGCTTGCCTTCAGTGCCCAGTGCT